TATGAAGGACGTGAACAAATTAAAAAATTTTTGCAAGCTGCACGAGATGCTGGTATGGATAACTTACATGTAACAACAGAAACTCTTTTAGAAGCCGGAAATGATCGATTAATTGAAATAGGTTCATATCAACATTCATTAGATAAAGGGCATTATCTAGTTATATGGAAACGTACTTCTGAAGGAAAAAATGAATGGCAATTAGATATTGATATTTTTAATTGAATTTATTTTTTATTTTTACTTCCAAAATAAAATTTTCCGATTGATTTATTCAAAAGACTTTTCCTTTTCAAGACAGTGAATAGAATTCTTGATACTAATCGTATAGAGACCACATCGACTCATTTTATACTAAAACGAATTTCAAAAAATATAACGTACCCACCAATCAAAATGACAATGAGGATAGAGCTTGTCGAAACTACAACCCTGCATCAGAATCAGAATCGGAGTCAGAGTTGTAGGGAGCTGTAGGTCCACCTTTTTGTCGACTTGACCCGAACTCGAACCCAACAATAGATTAAATTGGAACCCACAGTTTCTTACAGAGTTGATGTAAATTATCCTTATGAAAACTACGGCTGGTATATAGCCAAGTTTAATGTGCGCTAGACGAAGGCTTTTTTCGAAAGTGTTGTATCAAAACAGGTAAATATTTTTGAAGTCCATTAAAACTGACAGAAATGAGTCGTTTTTCACTCAGCGGTGAGTGTAGATGCGGGTCTCATCTTCACTCACATTCACACCCCTAAAACAAGACTGGTGATTAAGATATTATTTTTCGATCAATTGGAAATTTCGACGAAATCGAAAGTTTGATAATCGTGTAAGCGATAACGAAAAATCAGAAAACACTCCTTGAAGCGCCGTGTAAAAGTATCGAGATCGAAGCGATACCATTTTTTTTTAAATTTTTTAGAGAATGCTCCATTCCGCTTCCAAATACAGCCCCAAAAAGACAAGTCTTTCCGGACTTTCTTTTTAAGGCTACGCGAGAATTAAAACGAAGACAGATTACGAGTGTGAAATGTGAGTATATATGTGGAGCAATGTTGCCACCTTTTGAAGTCCGAAAAGCAGAAAATTACTTTACAAAAAGCAGAAAATAACAGAAGTTTTATCATCGAAAAGCAGAAAGACAGCAGAAAGTATGTTTATGATATGAAACTAACGGATAGCTCGTAATAAAAGAGAGTCTCAATATTTTGTTAACATCTTAAGCGTTATCTTATCGCTCACGCTTTATTTTTGTATCAAAAGATTCACCATCTGCTTCTGCGCAAATTGCATATTTCGTTGTAAAAATACTTATTTCTTTCTCTTTCAGCATCAACACGATTTAAAAATAGCACTACACACAACTTTCGAAATCTCTATTTTTTTCAATTTTTTCCAAAAACATCCAGTCCTTAGATTGTTCTTATTATCATTGGTCGTGCCATATTCTTTATCCAGAAATAAAATAAATTGCCTTTGGTACGTTGATTGAAATGAACCAATTTATCTTTTGAGTGATGAACAAATTATACCCAAAGTAATAAGATTAATTGAGAAACTGGACATTTTAGAAAAAAATTGAAAAAAATTGAAAAAAATGAAGATTTTGGAAGTTATGTGTAATGCTTGTTTTAAATCACGATGATGTTGAAAGAGAGATAAGTGTTTTTTACAGCGAAATATACCAATTTCTACATAATTAGACAGTGAATCTTTCGATAAAAAAATAAAGCGTGAACGACAAGATACTGCTTAACATGTTAACAAAATACCGAGACCCTCTTTTATTACTAGCTACCCGTTAGTTTTAAATTTTATTTTCAGTATACTAATCACTCACATTGTATGGCATCACAAAACACAACTAATTAACAAATAGACAGAATCATTGAACATGTTTTCTTTTTAAAGAATATTCTTCATCTGATTTAAGAGCTTTTGACAAATCGTTTTTACCTAATAAATATTTATCCATTACAGTATATGAAAAGGAGAAATTCAAAATAATTGTTGATTAAATCATAGCATTTAAATTTTTTTTTCTTTCTTATTACTCATAGGATTATTAATATTAGATTTTTATTAGCAATGTTCGGAAAAATGTTGATGGCGAACGATAAATGTTAGTTGAGACGGATCAAATTTATATTCTTTTAAAGATCATTAATATTCGACGACTTTGAGCCATTTTCTGTTGAAGATAATTCTATTCAATTTCTGTTTTCTGATTTAACTCCTGATGACATAATTATTACTTCAGCAACTAACACTCCTTTGTGAATACCTTCTTCGCTGGCCGAGCTGTCATTATCATCTAGAGCTGTTTTTTTATTCCTTTTCTTCCACTAATCGTATTAATTATTCATGTTCGTTGAGTAAACAAACGAAAGGATGTATATGTTGATGTATATGAATTACATGAATAATTAAAATACGATAGAAAACTATAGGTAAAGAATTGATTTAAAGCCAAATATATGGGTTGGTAGTTATTTTTAGTCAGTAGAAAATAGAAAATTATCTGTATCAAATAGAAAGGATTAGAATGGCACAAGAACATCAGTAGTTTTTAATACGGTTTTTTTAATAGCTATGGAAACGAAGGTATTTCAGGTGAAAAATGTTGATTGAAATAATAAATAATACCGTATCAAAAAAAGCAGAAAAATCTCGAAAAAGCAGAAACGACAGAAAAAAAAACAGAAAAAACCTCAAAAAGCAGAATTTTTCTGCTAAAATCAGAAGAGGTGGCAACTCTGATGTGGAGATAGATATGGATGGTGTTATGTCGGCTTTTCCTTATCCGTACCCACACCCTCTACTGATTTTCGATTAATGAAAAATCCTATTTGTTTGTTAATAATCTATTTGCAGTTTGTATCATTAGACATTCAACCTACAAATATGTTTTTTCCCTGAATGCGACGTTTCGACTAAGTGGAAATTCACCCCACAAAATGACAATTTTTGAAGCGAGAACTCTGTTTTCTTTTCGAGATAATGAAAACAAGTTTCAAAAGCAGAAATAATTAGATCAAATGTTGCTGCCTTTTTCGAAGTTTTCGTTTTATCAATGGTTGTTAATGAAAATTTATAATAATTACGAAGGAAACAAAAAAAATCAACATGTCTGCTTCTTATTCTTCTATACAATCTAATTAAAAATCAAAATTTTAGCATAAATGTAAGATGAGTTATACAAAGTATGGTTTATGATTATCATTTATCATTTTCTAGTGAACCTAAAGACACAATTGACAAATTTTTTTTTGTATTTTCATATAATTTTGAAGTTATTCATAGAAGATCAACGAAGAAATATATTCGTATATAGAATATAATTTATTTGTATTGGATATACTGGTTTTTCTAATGGCAATAAATTCAAATCAATGTGTTATTCTTAAACAGATCTTAAGATGTGCATATTTATATAAAGTTACCCTCATACCTTGATAATGTTCAATTTTTGTATTTAATACATCTGCGTGTATCCGTTGAACTCATGGAACAATTGTTGGAGATTCCTTCCAACGTTGATTTCATCTGAAACAACATCTTTTGATTATGAGATACTATCATAAGAAAACTTCAAGATATGTTTACATTGCTACGCGTATCACAAATCTTTGTGATTCTTCTGTAGTCGACAGAAAGTGTTCAAGAAGATCTCACATATACTTTCTAGAATTTAAAATGGCCTAAACCTACCATTCTGATTTTTATATTCACATTAGACTATCTTCAAAGGCTAGCTCTTTTCATAAGAATCAGGTAAAAACTAAACTGATTTTTATTCTACATATTTCTTTGGGAATGCAATATGCTTGAAGTTCAAGTTCAAATGAGCAAGCTAAATGTCTTTCGCTTTCCTTTGTTCTTTGTCGAGACATAAGACGAAGCGTTGAATCTTCTAAAATATCTATTTAAATGGAAAAATGAATTATATTAAAAATTATCAATCTTTGTATCCTCTTAAAAAAAACGTCTCATGTTTATGATGATATAAATTTTATTTACTTCAACTTGAAATAAGATGTAACAACTTTTTAGAACAGTCGTGCTCTATTAAGTATCAGCAATCGAATAGAGATGTGCTAAAATGTCTCCTTGCTAGTCCCTATCTATCTTTAAACAATCCAAACCGTCTCAAATTATACAAAAACATATATCAATCTCTATACTCCATATAAAATGAATGTCATTAAACAAGTATGGCTTTTTTTTACTTCTTTAACGTCACTCGTGATCTTCTCTTTCGGTGAATGCTATAAGAATTAAAAAAACAAAAAAAAGGACGGCAAACACAGACAGCAACAGAACATAGAAGTTTGGCACGCTGCAAAAGTAAAATACGAATCATTCGAAAAAAACAAGCCAGCAGTGAAAGGCGCAAAAATTTTATCAACAGCAACACATCAGCAAAATTACCCAGAACATTTCGGCTTAAATTATTTTACCGTGGTGAGTAAATTATTAGGAAGATTCGAGAAGCCAAAGAAACTCTTTTCAATGGTATATACTTAATGCCAAGACACTGTAAATAGTTTATCTATTTTTTCTACCGCTCTATTCATCCATTTCAGTTATTCAAGAGATAAGAAATCAAAATCAATATAATGTAACTGCGACTTTAATGAGATGACGCATAAAAAGAAGATGGAAACAATGGTAAACTTTGGATGTAGATAAGAGTAACAGTGAGAAAACTTTTGGCGGAAACGAATCCGCACAGATGAAGGTCAGAAGCTGTCTGTCAGAAAGCGATAACTGATGATAAAGACGAAAAGCTTTCAACCATAGCAAAATCCGAAACAATGATGGCAGAAAGCTTCTTTTCACTTAGTGATGTAACAGAGTTAGAGAAACAACCTTGATCATTCACAGTAATGTGAAACGTCAAAAGCCAATCAATTCGAACCATAGAGGCAATCCGTCAAACTGTTGACAAAAAAGCTTCGTCCCGAACGGCTATGAGCGAAATTCAGGTCGCAAAACTTTGGACTAAATGGTTGTGCTTCAAAGGCACTGTGCAAGATTTCGATCCTTCTACCAATTTGTCAGGGCGGTTGTGAGATCCTCAGAGTCACAGAGCAATCCATAGAAACAATCCCGAAAAGCTTCGGACGATAGGACAATCCGTCAAGATGAAAATTGAAAGGTTCAAGTAGTATACGAATTGCTAAGAGACATGAAGAAAAAATCGAGCGCTCATAAACATGAATTATGGTAACAATACAGAAGAGAGTCTAAAACGATCCATCAAAATATGTTCGTGACGGGAAGCAGTTTCGGACAATCGATGAATGTGTTTTGTCCATGGAGAACGCTTTGGGATCGTTCATCATGCGAAAGAGTTGGGAAACGGTTTACCACATCCATTCATTTACTAGGATACATAGAAAAAAATCGAACAATCTGGCGATATGTAAAATTCACCACGACAAATTTCAAGTTAGTCATCAATGTATTTCTATGCCGATAAACATTTCACAGCAACAGAGAAATGTGTAAGCAAAGTTCAAAAAGCTTCGGAGAACTCATCCCTGTGTTAAAGTAGCTGCGGCGATCCTCAAGCTAACAAAGAACCTATTTAATAGACAGCAAAAAAGATTAAGATAACTAGCCAATATGTCAGGTTAGCCGCGAAAATCTTCAGCATGCTCACTAAATGACCTTCGATGACAGTGAAAACATGGCAACCACAGATGAATTGATGCGAGGAAGCAAAAAGCATCAGAAGCCAGCCATGTGCTAACATCCTTGTAAAAATCTTCCGGGTACTGAGCAGTCTTTTGAAATTAAGGCAAAAACTTTCTGATTACAGAAAAAATCTCGTGATACACAGGAAAAATCTTCAGAGAACCAATCAATCTCTTTGAGTGGGGGCGAAAACTTTGCAATAACAGATAAAAGTGTTAGCACAATAGTAAAAAGGGTGTGGGTGTGGATGAAGAGAAGACTAACAACACACATCCATACCCACATCCACAGACTAAATCCAAGATCACACACACCATCTAGACTCGCGGACTCCTCCCCATACCGATAGGAAAATACTTTGAAAGGACAGATATTGTTGTAGCATCAATGAATGTGCCACGTCTCCCGATAATCTTCAAGTTACTAATCAATGTCTTCGAATGGTGGTGAGAGCTTTCTAAACACGTAGGAATGCCTTAGAAGAAGAGCAGAATGCTTTATAAGCCTGAAATGTGTGAACCTACCGATGAAAAGTTTCAGCCTTGGAGGCATGTGTATGATGCATGACGAAAGATTTGCGATCTTCAGAAACGATCCAAAACGCCAACGAAAATTTAGGAAATCAATTAATTTGATGGGTATCCTGGAAAAAGTTCACGCTACTTCTGAACATCTGTAAATGATGGCGACAGCTTTTGATTTACAGATAAATTGGGAGAAGAAATAGGAAAAGTTTGAGAGAACCGATCTATACTGTTGGGAGACGACGAAAACTTCTTTTCAGGAGCGAATTTATGAGAGAACGAGAAAAAGCTTCGAAGCCCAGTCATGTTGGAGCATAGAGATACATAGCATCAGCCTTTGAGGGATGCCTGTGAGTCATGGTGAAAGCATTCTGACCATGGCGAAGCATGTAAGATAAAGCGACAAAAGTTGCACAGAATAGATACATGTAACACACTTGTGAGTAATGTGGGTGTGGTGCGGATTACATCAACTTGTACAGGGTGCGTAAAAATGTTTTTCCAGGGGCGTAACTCTACGGTAACAAAAGTACCGATAATGAATTTTGTACCAAACGAAAGCGCGGAAAAAATGGGATATTCTGATGCTAAATTATGAGGGTTCTGAAAAATGTTTTATAACAAACATAACAAGTCTCTGAAAAAACGATACCAAAAGTAGTCTTTCAGGAGCCGTAACTCTATGATTTCACACAATAACCATGACGAATTTTATACCAAATGAAAGCGCAGGAAAAATGAGATACTCTGATGCTAAATTGTAAGGGTTCTAAAAATTTTTTTATAACGAACATAGTTTATCTTTAGAATTTCGAGCTATTTCACTATGAAGAAGTTTATTGCTTGAAGCAGTTCGAAGTGAACCTGATTGGAAGCGATCGTTAGCATCAAAAGCATTTATTTTTCAAAACTGATTAGTGGAATCAATAATCAGTGTGACCTCCATTTGCATTCCTCACTGCCTGAAGACGGGACGGATACGAACATAAAAGAGTTTCAAATAGTTTCACGCTTGATTCCATGTTAGTCAGAACATCTATGAGATGCTTTTCTAGTGTCTCTTCCTTATAACGATTCTCCACGGTTTCCGATAATATTTTTCACTGAACTTCATCTTCAATTATTGTTTCAACATGTTCAGCGACATTCAGATCAAGTGAATTGCCAGGCCATGTGCCATTACCCCAAAAAGTGATATCATTCTCTTTAAGCAAATGCTGAGTCATATTTGCACCCATGCATGGCGCTTTCTCATGGACAAATATCACTTGGTCAGGATCGATTACATTTTCTTCGTCTTTGAGAAATGAAAGCACATGCTGCATCAAAATAACGTCACGGAAATATTGACCAGTCCAAGATTTACCCTTCACCTTCATTACCCAATGCAGCTTTTTTTGTCGTGAATACGACAAAAATACCGATACATGCTTGGTTTTTTACTATTTTGCGATACCTTTCATCATCTTCAATACTTCTTGCCCAAACTCTATCATTTTGATAATTTGGCCTGCGAATAGTCCAAACATAAAATTCATCCGAGGGTGCAAGATGAAGAAAATCTTCTTGAGTCCAGTCTCTTAGCCAATCACAAAACCACAATCGGTCCGAAATATGGGTTTCTGTTTTTAAGGGTTTTGGAATAACATGAAATGATTTCAATCCATTCCTATGGCGGTAATTATCGATTGTTTTTGGTGTAACATACTCTTTGTATTTTGCTGCAATCTATTTGACCAAAGCATAAGAACTTCTTTTTTTGCTTACCAGTTGCATTGAGAATGAGATTTTGCCTGGCATCTGATAATTTCAGTTTTCGACTACACTCGGAATACTCAGCGAAGCAATCATCGTACGATCTCTCCCACTACTCTGTGACAAATCGCGTACTATAATGAATTTTTTCTGCAATCCATTGGCGATTAATGAATGCTGTACCCATCTCGAGCCTCACGAAAAGCGATACATTTGATTCTGCCGAAGATTCTTTGCTGTTCTGAATCGTAGGTACTAGCCATTTCCAACCAATTAAATTAACTTCAGCCACCAAAAGAATCGATTGTTTTTGTCTATCTACCTTATATACCACGAAATAACTTTATGCTATTGCCGAGGGTCGTGCAATTTTTATTCTTAGACAGATAGAAAAGAAAAATATCATTTGATGAGAGAATCGAAACGTGCTTGCAGAACGAAAAGATATTCAACAGAGAATAGGTAACAAGTACTGCTACACACTTACTCTCATTTTACTGGCATACCATCATTCATATTCAGAAGCGGAAGATAACAAGGTGAGAGAACGAACAAGAATGATATCATCTTATCTGCTAGACAAAGTTAAATAATTTTCACAGCGGTACTTATATAAATTTGTGTGACAAAAAGCACATTTCTTACCTGAAAACTCATTATCGATACATGATCACGATGATTCTATACAAACTTTCAAAAATAAATTATGTTCGTTATAAAAGAGACTTCAGAACCCTCATAATTTAGCATCAGAATGTCCCATTTTTTCTGCACTTTCATTTGGTACAAAATTCATCATGGTTATTGTGTGAAATCATAGTGTTACGGTTCCTGAAAGACTACTTTTCGCATTGTTTTTTCAGAGACTTGTTATGTTTGTTATAAAAAATTTTTCAGAACCCTCACAATTTAACATCAGAATATCACACTTTTTCCGCGCTTTCATTTGGTACAAAATTCATTATCGGTACTATTTGTTACCGTAGAGTTACGCCCCTGAAAAAACATTTATACACACCCTGTACACCCATATTCTCACTCAAGTATGTATTAGGAAAAGAGAATGCGTTCTAGTCAGGAAAAACTACACCTTACCGTTTAGGATGAGCTAACAGTTGGAAATGAAATTTTTTAATTATTAAACAATATAATTTATGATGTAAAGAAAAAGTTGCAACTTCACGGTGATAGTTTCGTTACAATTTTCGACGTGATTTTTGCGATATTATATATATAGATATAGATATTTCCATGCGTTCATACATCGGTAAAATGTGCGGATTTTTTCGATTAATCTTTCGTTCAAGATTCTGAGCATTGCTATACACGTTCGAGTTTATCAATTAAACAGTCTGTTAAAACCAAAAGTGACAATTCTATATTCGAAAGTTTCTTGAAAGAGTGTGCTGATGACTTTTTAAATCTTTCAATATTATTCCTAACTTGGAACACCATCAAATTGATTAGACCTTATTCTCTGCCAATCTGTTCAAAGCTGTACCATTACAGTGATCACATATTCATTTAATTTTTCGAACTTGAATTATGAATAAGTAACGCTCATACTTGCGATTCACTTAACGCTCGACACAATGTTCCACTCTTCTGTGTAATATAATTACTCATTTACCATACCGATCCATACGAATCTAGTATGTACAAGTAACGTTCATCGACATCAAAGGTCGATTCACTGGGACCTAGACTGACGGAATGATGACAAGCAGGTAGTTCTATTTTTACCGTAATTTGTGCCATGTGAATAGTAATTTGTACCATAAAAATGGTCGTTTCTACCATAGAAACAGTCATTTGTGCCATAACAAGGGTCATTAGTGTCATAAGAGTGGTCATTTGTGCATAGACATGGTCATTTGTGCCATAGGAATGGCCATTTGTACCATGGGAATGTTCGTTTGTGCCATAGAATTGGTCATTTGTGCCATTGAAATGGTCATTTGTGCCATAACAATAGCTATTTGTGCCATAACAATGGCCATTTGTGCCATAACAATGGCCATTTGTGCCATGGAAATTGTCATTTGTGCCATAAAAATGGTGATTTGCGCCACAGAAATGGTCATTTGTGCCATAAAAATGATCCTTTCTGCCATAAAAATGGTCATTTGTGTCATAAAAATGGTCATTTGCGCCACAGAAATGGTCATTTGTGCCATAGAAATAATGATTTATGCTATGGAAGTGATCATTTGTGCCATGGAAATGGACATATGTGCCGTAGAAATGGTCATTTGTGCCATAAAAATGATCATTTGCGCCACAGAAATGGTCAATTGTGCCATAAAAATGGTCATTTGCGCCACAGAAATGGTCATTTGTGCCAACCCCTTGTTACAGACAGACAGACAGACATGCAGACACACGTGAATTACGGTTTCTAGACCTTAGCCTTTCAGTGTAGGGAACATAGGAGAGTAGATGTAAGTTTGTTGATGAGTGTAAGTGTAGATGTCGTGATAAGTGCAGATGTAGGTGCATCTGTCGGTGTTCTTACCAGTGGCTATGTTGGTGGGAAGTTGATGTCTGTGGAGCGTAGTGTTTCTTTTCAACTATTCAGTCAATTATACTTAGAGCCACGTACCCATGGCTATGCTCAAATACAAACACCGCGACACATCCACACCTAACATCATACATCGTATCCCCATCCAAACGCCAACACCACAAATACGCAAAAATCCACCAGCTGCTGCACTTAAACACCACATCAACACACCTTTAGCCCATACCCACACCCACACTTATACCCATAGTCTAGCGAGTCGCTAGTGTTCTACATCTGCCACTATTCCACAGTCATACGCACATCGAAATCCTACACATATACTCGGACCTTCTTTCACTGACACCCATACTCTATCTTTTTCCTGTTTCTATTAAACACCGATTGAGCCAGATTTGAGACAGTTGAACGAGATTGGATTCAAACCATGAACGAAGAATATTCAATACATGCCTTGAAATTATTTTATAAATATTCATATGAATTCATTTTAGATCGAATTTATTCGACATACTCTTATAAATTGTATCATTTTAGTGATTTTCTTCTAAGACATATGGCGACGATAGTAACTGATTCAAATTTATGTTCAATCTGCAATAAACCTTCAGCAAGACGCTTTTGCATTGGATGTAAAAAATATTTTTGCCCGAAGGATTTCAAAGAACATGAACAACAACTATCGATAAAATTCGACAATGAAATCGTCCGATCACACGATGAACTTCTTAATCAAATACCAAAATTAGAAAAATCAAATTTTTTATCATTAGATCTTTTTGATCAAATTGAACAATGGAAAAATACAACAATCGACAAAGTAAAAAAAGCAGCAGAAAAAGCTCAATATGAACTCACCAAATTAATCGATAAACAAAGAATAACAATAATAAACCAACTTGAACTAATTACAAGAGAAATTCGTTGTCGTCGAGAAGAAGAAAACTTTGTTGAAAATGATATCGATGAACTTAAACAAAAAATCAATAAAATTAAACAAAAACTTGAACAATTTACTCAAAAAGATACTACTAAAACTATTATTATTATTAACAATGATCAAATTGATTTGAATCGACTTATTTACATTCAAGAACAACAATTAGACTGTGAGTATATTGCACTACAAATATAAAAGCAAAGAAATCGTCAAGCAAATTAATCAGATATTTTTTATCGCTCAACCGCATCTTTTTTCTTTTCATAAACCAATCTAAATCGATGTATTCATAGGTTAGAATTACTTCAAGAGATGCACAATCTTCGATAAAATTGAATTAAATGTCACTCGAAACATATCGTGTTGACACAAATGAGTAGATTTTCATTCGAAATAAAAAATATTTAACTTTTTGAAATTTGAGTTCGAGTTTCAATAGAAATCATTTTTATAAAGCGACATCGAATAATAATTTAGATTTCATTTTAGGACAAAGTTCCACTGTTGAACATTTGAGACTATGGGACTTCTACAATGCTTATTAAAGTTCATATTTATTCTCTACTAAAGATTAACTTAAAAAGAGCTTGTTAGCGCAGCTTTTTTTGAACTGAAATGCGGAATTTACATGTCTTATTTAGCTTCATTATACTAATACAAAATATGCAAAGTGTTAAGTTCTCTAAAAGATGATAGTTCTTTTCCAACGATAATCGATTGTCAGCAAACACTGTGTCTTTTTTACTTATGCATTTCGAACAGAAATTTTGTATACTTTTTTTGACTGGCGCTCTTTTTTATTTGTCTTGTTGCTATTCACACGGTATTTATTTTCTTTTCATAATTTATTATTGTTAGTCTAATCATTGATTTAATGGACAAATAACCCTGTTTTACACATTTGTTATGATACCAGCAGATCGTAACGACTTATTATGTGTCTCGAAGAACTTTGAAACAATGATATTGATTATTTCCGAAAGTTAGAACTTAGTCAGTTAATGCTTTTGTATTGGTCATATGACAGTTATGGGGAATCGAAGCATCATCTTTGATAGCCACCAATGTCCAACCAGTAACAAAACCACTTTTGATATTTACTCTCCATATATGACTCGGAAAACTCTGCATTTATGGTTCTACAACTAAGAACTAGGGTGTGGGTCAGTGGCGTTCGCAGAAATTTTTCAAGGGGGGGGGGGCCCAACTTTCTAAGGAGGAGGCCCGCAGTGGACTGTTAATAAAAGTTATGACATAAATTTTTTTTCACCCGTACCCCCCCTACAGATAATTTTTCTCCAATGAGGGAGGGGGCTGAGCCCCCTCGGCACGCCACTGGTGTGGGCAGGGTGTAGATACCAGTGCTAGTGCGGGCGTGGGTGTAGGACGCGGGTGTTAGAGGAGAGAATAATAACACCTATATCCGCAACCCTTTTTAATGGTACCATTATGAACGTATTCAAATGACAGTAACCTTGTGTGTCCCCTCTCAGGTGCATCCAAACCATACCAATCCAATATCGTTCCGATTGTATCGAAGCCGTCGACACCAGGTATGCTGCTTGGAATGCGATAGTATGCGCCGTAAAGAAAACGACTTCATCAATCATATCGTTCATGCTATGCTCGATGATAAACTATCTCTATTTGTCATGCATCAATCGACGCTGCAATAGAGAAATTCTCTTTCGCTAACAGAGCATATCGATCTCTTTTAAAACGATAATGAAACCATTATCTGAGTAATAATGTTTTGTCAAACATTATTCCTGTGGTCCGGTGTAGCTTCAAATATTCACCCAATCCATAACGATTGAGACCCCTTTTCATGAATGACGTAGTGAGAAATTTTCGACAGGGTGGAAGAGTGGTACTAGACATATCGCGCAGCAGTAAGACTCTGAGGCATCTAAGAGCGTTTTATCTAATATAATTAGCAGAGATTATTGTATACGAGCAAAAAACAAGGTGTTTCAAACAGCATACACTTTGTGTAGAATAAATATTTCTACGAGCAACAATAACGCTGCTCTTAATAAGCGAAATAAATTCTCAAAATGCTAAAACTATTTCAATCTGAGTAACAAAAATCATCTATTTTTGGTAAGTTACCACCGAGAGTGGTCACGCTTGTGGCCTCATACTAAAAATTGTGAAGATGAAAACCTATGATATTAATTGAATGCTTAAAAAAAAGATTCCGATGAGGAATATTATATTCAAGTCTAAAAAAATTCTTAAGAATATTGTTCTACCAGGTGTCCAATAAATGTATTTATGATAGGAAAAAACTCGATAGTTTCACTCTATCTATATCAATCAGAGTTTTTTCCTCAAAAATAAGAGAGACTTGAAAACTTCTTGTCATATAAAAACCGTTTATAGGCAGTACTTCGGAGTATCACTATTGGGTTGAATAATGAAATATAGCCTATTCTGATTTCTGAAAAATACTTTCGTGACAGCAACTCCAGATGTTTTCGAGGCCATATTTTGCTCACTAGTAGAACATCATGAGACTAAAATAATTTCAAGAGCGCTCTTGCCCTATCTGAGTTTTTCCAGAGATACTGAATTTTTACCTCGCTACCAACGCCAAAATTAATCCTACACTTGGTTTTTGATCTAAAATATAGAGTTTATAGTTAGAAGAAAGGACGGGGGCGTATAAGGCTGAAATTTGGCCCCTTTTGATTTTGGTTACTAGTAC